GGGGCTTTAGAGCATGCTCTTTCGTCTGCCAGCCATCACCTGCCACGTGGGCTGGGACCCACCTGAGAGGGGAAGGCTCCACACCCTGGCTGAGTGAGTCTCACCCGGAGCCAGAGCCCTGGACTCTCGTGAGTCAGGGCTCATAAGGTGTTCTCACAGACCAGGTGCCTTGTTCCTTTCAGGGCAGGTAGGACGAGGCGTAACTAACAGGGCTGCTCAGCCTGTGACAAGGGGCCTCTGCCTGGCACCCCTCCACCCAAGGAATGAGGGTATGGGGTATCACAGGGGCTGTCTGTCCCCATTCCCCAGCCAGGGCCTCTTAAGTCTTTTCATCTCCTGAGAATTGGTTGCACCCCCATCCCTCTCTCCTTGGGGGTCTTATTCCCAATCATCCACCATCACTGTGGCTCTCCTGGTAGGCCACAGGTGCCTCAGACTCACGGCATCCAAGGCCAAGCCCAGTGTTGGCTCCAAGAGTGTGTTTCCACTAAGGGTTCTCCCTAAACCAAAAAGCATTTCTGCTTACCTGGCCAGAAACCTGTGCTTCGTCCTTGGGTCCAATGGGCCTTCCTAAATATTCCTATGAGCTGGCGAGCCATTCCCCTCCCTGGGCCCCTGCTGCTGCCTGCCTGGGGTCCGGACCCAGCTGTCCCCACCCTGCAGCCAGGGAGCCCTCAAAACACAAACCTGCACACCATTCCCTTCCTGAAATAAAATCCAAGCTGCTTTGCCCTGCATTCCAGGCCAGGTCAGACCCCTCTAGTGGGTCCTGGCCGAGCGGAGCACGAGGACGAGAGCTGACGTCCAGAAAGCTCAGAGGAGGCCGCAGAGAGCCCCTCCGTGCAGCCTGCCCAACTCCAAGGGGCGGCGAGTCTGAGCCCCAGGCTGTCCCCCTGCTTTGTAGGCCCCCAGACTGCGGTGATGGCCATTCCTGGCCTGCAGGAAGACCCCATTCGGCATTAGCTCCCCGGGAGTTTATTGAGGGCTCACTGTTTGCCAGCCAATTGGGATTTGGACACGAAGCTACCCTCAGTGCCCACAGGAGCTCATCATGTGGTGGGTGAGATGTGAGAAGCACAAGGAAGAAGGTAGGCGGTGGGCACAGAGGAGGCACTTGGCCCGGCTCGGGAGCTCAGGGCAGGCTGCCTGGCAGAGGGCACTCAGCCTCTCTTCCGGGCCTCTGGCTCCAGCTGCAGGGGCAGTGGCTGGTTCAGTGCCCAGAGCAAGATTCACACACGGGAGGAGCGGGGACCTGTTGAGAGTCCACATGGCAGGCCAAGGGGGCAGTGAGAGTCACAGATGGGCTTGGCCCCGAAAGGGGCTCTCTTCACAGTGAGGAAACTGAGGCATGGGAAGGCGAACTCACTTGCCCACGGTCACCCTCCAAGCAAGTGGCAGGATGGGATTCGCTCCAGGTCTGTCTGTCTGTCTACAAATGTTGGTGGAGCAGGAGCACAGGCAGCCATGCAGAGTGGTGGCTCCCTCTCTGGGGCCACACGCACACCGGGACCCAGCAGCTCCCCTCCGCCTCCACCCCTCCAGGGAAGTACAAGGGCTCCCCCTGGTGGCCGAGGCTCCCTCCAACCTGGGTGCTGTCCCTGGACAGAGACATGGAGTCCCGCCCTTCACCCTGTGCACCCGTCAGCTCCCAACATTCCCCAGGGGAAACCCCTCCAGCCACCTCCCCTGGCACCAGCACCAGGAAGCCTTCCCCCCAGGAAGAACTCTCACCCCCCCAGCGCTCCTAGACTGGGGGTGGGTCTCCTACTGTGAGACAGAATGTTCTCCATAGAATCATGTCACTTGTGCCTGGGACTGTTCTCCCTGCCAAGAGGAAGCCAGGAGTTCAGGGAGAAAGCAGCAAGCAACCTCACATTACAGCCCTTTGGGCTTCTGTCCCGGAACCGCCCAGCTCAGTCGCTTGGGGCAAGCCATGTCCACGCTCAGCCACAGTTTTTATATCTACAACTTTGCTTAAAAATCAGAGGGACCGTCTATCCAGCACAGGGATCAATAATAGCTAATATTTTTTTAGAGCACTCACAACGCACCAGACTTTGAGTGCCTTAGAGCCATCATCTCATTTAATTATCTCAGACTACAATCTTCCTGTTCTCCCACCCCCACCCCCAACTCGCCCTTCACACAGCAGCCAGATATTTTAAAAATATAACCCAGATCATGATACTCCACTGCCTAGATCCCTCAGATGGCTTCTCACTGAGAGTAGGAAAAAAATCAACGAGAACAGAGAACGCTTGTGGCCAGAGGGAGGCATTCCTGAAAAATCAGGGCCGGGTCAGAAACGGACAGAGGAGTGGCCGCTTGTTTGGTCCCAGGTGGCTTTGGTGAGGGCGGCCTCAGCAAAGCCCAGTGAGGGAGGCCAAGGAAGGACAGCAGGTGGGCGTGCATGCAGTGACCACAGACAATTCCGGGAGGTTTTCCGGGGTTGGGGGTGGGGGGACAGGACAGGGGGTGCAGGTGGACAGGGGATCAAGAAGGAATTTTAAAACAGAGATCCTCAAGCCTATTTATTTGTTGATGAGAATGAGCCAGTAGAGGCAGATGAAGGGGAGGAAAAGGAAGAATTAATTGCAGGAGGTCTGTTCCTAAAGTGACAGGGAAGGGGCTCAGTGAGAGCAGCGCGTCACCCACCCTGTGGTGGGAATGACTGTTACGCCCCTCTCCGGGTGGGGGAACTGCGGGCGGGGAGGTTAGGTGACTTGCCCAAGGCCACACACAGGTCAGGGCTGAGCCAAGCTTTCAGTC